GAAGAGTCTTCACAGAATGCATTCTAAAAATTTTGCCTTTGGTAGTATTCTTATAAAGCCATCTTTCAAAGTTTTAGATAGTGTGGGTCTCCGTGTGGCATTTGGCTGTTCTTTAGGGGGCGTTAGTGTAGGGCAGCTATATGAAATGCAGTAGATAAGTCTATAACAATTGTGAGGTGACAAAAATACTTAATAACCACCGGTTGCCATCTACGTTTATTTTGCTAGCCCTGTCTATCAAATGTCACAGTAGCTGAAGCTGGGCAAAACCATGGTTTTCTATATTTCCTCAAGTGATTAATAACTCCTGGCCTGAAAATTCTATAATTGATTTGATGTTTGAGAGTTAATGTTGATTAAGTATCAAATTATTTTGGTTATACAATTCGAAGTGGCACTTTCCCAGTTATCAGCAGCTTTGAAGAGGCCAACTCCAGATGTGGCTCATTCTTCTCTTAGATATTTTCCTATAGACTAGGTAGCTTATGTTCCTGTCTGTAAATAGGCTTCTTCATAGGAATCAACCAGAAAAGGTCTCCTACCAACCTCCGGTTTCAGTTTTTAAAAGAATGAAAAAACTTCAGCGTTCACTGTAGACAGTAAAGAGTTCAGAGTTTACTGTTTTGGCTCACGCTGGGTCAGTGTGCTACTGCTGGTCACCATTTACAAGTTTCTTTCTGTAATGGGAAACAGTTATGAAATCTTGCATTTTGAAGGATAAAATGCGAATCTGTACATCAGGAAGAATCAAACTTGAAGAAGCCTGGAAAGAAAAGAAAAAAGAAAAAAAAAGCAAAAAGAAATCTAAGCATCTAATAGTTTGAGAAGGCCAGGTATGTTCAGGCTACCTTGTCAGATATTAGGATGAGACTACGGTGGCTTGGCAGCTTCCCCCTTCTTATTAGCCAGCTGGACTACAGCAGCAGTCCATCCAAGGAAGTAATTCTTACACCAGATATCTAGCTTCTCTGCCAGCTCACATTTAGTTTTGAAAACAATTAACTGCAAGGAACTTGATTGCATCCAGCCAGTAATTTCCTTTGGACTCAGAGATAATAACAGAAACAGAACCAGAAATAGTCCTCTGATGCTATACACAATGTATTTTAATGCAATTCTTCTAGCCTTCATCTATACGAATATTAGGCAAATTAGTTTAAAACTTTTTTTTCTTTTTTTTCTTAAAAATCACAAAGCTACTCGGACCCCCAGAAGTGATCCTTGGTCTGATTATAGTGTATGTGTTTTTACTGGAAGTTGCACAGATTCTTGTTATGGCTGCAGCATTTATATTGTAATAAAGGCTGTGTCAGTGTTTCTATTATGACCTTGCTCCAACAAATTACTCCAGGCTGAAACTTGATGTACAGGAGCAAAATTCACTCTTTGCAATGCACAGGAAATAGGCTGTGTTTCTCTGTGTGGCAGTAGCACACTCTCCACTCTTTTTTCTTTCTCGTTGTGTTGAGTATTTTTCTTGTAAATCTCAGTTTAGGTGCAATTAATTTTACAATTGGCAATAATGTAAAGAAGAACAAGTACAGAAACAGTTCTTCCTATGTGAGTCCTAGAAAAAAAACAGTAAACATAAATGCTTAGCTGCACCAAGAGGCCAAAATAAAGGCATTCATAAAAGAATGTTAGGGGTGGAGGGGAGAAAAATCAGAGAGGAAGCTTCCCAATGAAGATAAAAATTCTTGATCTATGCTGCTTTCTTCCTCAGGTTGGACCTGCCAGCAAGATGACTTTTCAATCTAAAAGTCTATGTGGTCCACCTAGCTTTTACTTCCCCATCATCAGCTTGATAGTGGGTTCATATGAGCACATAGCTATTTACAATGCGCTTCTATTACTATGGCTGGTGTCTAGTACAAAAAGAGGTTATTTTCTTTCAAACTATCTCTTCCCCACAAGGAGAACAAATGCATGCTTCCCACCCTCTTCATGAAATTTTTCTCCCGAGGGAGAAATGCTTCTTGCTTTTGCTCCTCCTCCAAAATCCGAGAGAACTCTGTCCCTTCCAGCTATTCCTGCCCGACAAAAAGGCAAAGGGAAGGTGCTTGGGAGAATAGAACCTTTCTCAACAGGCAGTGCTCATCACTAGAGTTCTGGAATAAATCTAGTGCTGCTCTTCAGGTTTGATAAGGTACCTTGAGTGACTGGCCCTTTATGCCAGTTCTTTTGTCAGTGAAGAGACTACATCCTCCAGGGGATGATTCAGAACATTGGTGGAACCTTAAGGCAAATAACCTGACACCTTTGATTTTCCTTTTGCTTAGAATTTGTACATTTTATATGTTATCAGAAAGGAAGGGTAATTGAAAAAATGGCTGATAATTCTACTTTTAATGCAAAAAACATATCGACAATTATTTCCCCAGTTAAGAGTGTTTCCTTCTGCTTTTTAAGAATTTTTTTTTAAACATTTTAAAAGCAAATTGTATTTCTGATGTAAAATTGTGGAAATAATTAAAGGTTGCTGTCTATTCTTCCTTCCCACTCTGTCAATGTATCTGCAGGACATAGGGTAGTAGAAAACTGATGAGGCCAGCAGGAGATTTGAAGCTAATGTGATGTTATGCTCCTAATATCCTCTTCCTAATCATGTACTTAGGAAAATGAGTTAAGCACAAGAAAATACATGCACAAAGGTATATATGTTTTACTTATATTTGATTAAGACCAGTTTCCTTAGTTGTTTATTTACACAGTGTTAATAAAACCCCTTTCCAATAAAAAAATGTATTCATTTATCACTTAAGGAGAACAAACAGCGGGAGTTTAATACACAATCAGATAACAGAGAAGTTTACAAAGCCATTCTGCAATTAGAGATGCTTAGATTTGAATGTGCCTTCTTCCCCCTCCTCCCTGCACCTCTGGTAGATACTTGCAGCTTGTTGCTCTGGTAGGTACTTGCAGCTTGTTGCAATTTAATGTTGTGGCTGTGATGGTTTGCTCCAGTAAGAAAAAGCTTCACAGATGAGTTATGTTAGCTATAATGTCTAGCCATCACTTTTAGTTACATTTCCATAAAGTAAAGCAACTGTTAAAATATTTGCTTCATCTGTAGACTGAGGGGTACTCCCATCTCTAAATAATTTACATTATTTACAACAGCATTTTCCTCTGCAGTGAAGAGGTTGAATTCTGGTTTGAAATGGAAATAACAATTAGAAAAAACAATAGTACATTAGGCCACTTACATGCATTCCTACTCCTTTGAGGATCTGGCTTGTCAGCGAAGTGTAATGTTCTTGAATATAGTGACTGCTTAAAAAGAAAAGCCAAAAAGAACCCACTACTCACCACATAATCAAAGATCTGAAAATGGAAAATTTAATTGAATGGAACTTTGAACAAATTCACACGATCTCCATGCTGCCCACGGGAAATAATACCCACTGTAACAATTTTTCTTTCATAGCTTCTTATTTGTGTTCTCCTTTCATTTCTTCGTATGTACAACATCAGGCAAACTACCATCTCTGGGAATGTAGGATGTAAAATGTAAGTGGGACTGTCAGCAAAACCTGCTATGTTCCCGCTATTTTATTTCCTAGCTGACAGAACAGTTTGCACGGTTTTATTTAGTTACAATTCAAATAAACCATTACAGAATAGTTTTCCAGAACTCATTGAGTAGCCAAAAGTAAATAAGGAAAATTAATAAAAACAGACATAAAAAAATTAGGATCTTTAAATGTGATTCGCAATTATCAGTGAAGCTGTACTCATAGCTAACACTCTTCTCCTCCTTCCTCTTTGTTAGAGGCTTTCCATGCAATAATTCTTCTGATGATATAATAGCTCTTAGATATGAAAACATTCTCTTTACTCAATGAAGGCTGACTAGGTTCAAATGTAGAAAGGGGAAAAAGGGGAAAAAAGCAAAAGCCTTATGCTTTTGGAACAGAATTCCATGCGTATATGAAAATATGATTAAAGAAAGAGAGAAAAAAAGACCTGCTACATCTTCATATTAATCTTCACATTATAGATGAACAGTGTTTCCTGCCAAGTCACAGTACCATTTTGTTATTGGTTGATATAATACTTAGCATTGTTTTGGGATGTGTGATCACGTGATTCCTATTTTCTACATGGCAACCAATGCAGAAACAATCTGTCAAGGACTGTCATTGAGGATCAATGCTAAATGTTACTCAGCAGGATGCAGACTGTATCTCGGTGGGTGTCCTCCTACTATGCTTTGATTATGTTTGCTGTAAAGAAAAGCCTAGTTGTGCTTACAGCATTCATATTTCACCCCCTCTGTGGAAGACATATTACAGCCTCTTGATTTGTCCCTGTTTCAACGAGATGTGTTGTTTAAAAACATATACACAGCATTTTCAAAGATTCCTTCAGTATAATCTGATTATAAAGGGGTTATGTGACAGTTTGTCTCTGCTGCTTATTGTGTGGCTTAAATCTCTGAGGGCAAGCTGACTGGACATCCATACAATTTAGACTCTGATGGCAGCTGTGGTTCAAAAATGTTGTTTTGAGCCAGATCTAAGGTCATCTGAGGAGGCACTTTGGCATACACCAAGGTAACAGAAGGATTTTATACTACTTATTGCTTCTTATAACTTCGTTAGATGACAATACTATGGGCTGGGTATGTGGGTGGAAGATTTAATTAAACAGAGTGGTAGTTTATTAACTTAGAGCGAGAAGGGAAGGGAAAAGAGGGAGAATTTTTTTATTCTTTACTGTGTGAGTGGAGAGTAGTAAGCCTACAGGTAAATCTTCATCTCTGAGCATTGATAAATAGATAGGGTTATATATTGTGAAAGAGAAAACAGATATTATACTGGACAGCAAGCTGACATATTGCTTTTATAAAAGGATATTTCAAGCAAAAATATGTATTTCAGAGAGCGCGTCCGTGTTTTCTGCATGACAAAAACACTCACCCATGACTTCCAATTGCCTCTTAATGTTTGCTGTCTTCAATACAGTTTTATAACAGTGGTGCTCTAACAAACTTCCAGGCATGAACGAATACATACTAGAAGACCTTACCATGTGGATGGAGCTGACAAGTACTCTCTAGATGATGATCTGGTAAATCTAGAAGTTCTAGACGAGGTACTGTACTGTTTGAGTAGCAGTTTCTGACAATTGTGCCTCACATTTTGCCTGTTTCTGCTTTTTTGGCTTCTTTTAACAGAATGAGAAGAGTTCTTTCTTGCAAAATTTTGTCTCACCATGGCAAAGGAATTGTCACGTGACTGATCTGCTATCATCACTTCATTAATATTCTATATAGTGACATAGAAGCAGTAGCAGTGAATCCTATTATGTGGAAGAATTTAATTACAAGTGGTGCTAGTTTAAATTATTTTGTGATTTTCCTGAAATGTGAAGTTTAGTCATGAAGATCTAGATTTAAGTGATTTTTCCTAAAATTGATGAATTTTTATAGAGTAATATGGTATCTACAGCTTCTGGATAAAACGTGATAAACCAACATCAGTTGCATATTTCACTATATCACCTATATGCAGACTATCTGTAAATTTTTGCTTTGATGATCCTTAAATTGCATGACAGCAAAAAAAAGACATAATACTAAATTGTGCTAGTGTCCTGTTTAAAACAGTCTCTTACTACCACTTAGAATTTAATCTTTGAAAAATTATTATCCTTGTTTCATGGTCAAATAAAAAATTAAATGGAAATGTACTATGAAGTGCAGCAATAATGTGCATGGCCATTTTCTCTTCAGAAGGTTTGCTTCTCAGGCTGGTATATTAAAATATGTACTAATCTGGAAGTAGGAGTTGCCATTTAACTTAGTTTTATGGCATTAACAAGAATTCTGAAAACATTTGTTTGGTTTTGTGGTGTTGGCATTTGAAAAATAATTAGTAAAACTTATAATAAGTATTTCTTAATCAGTGTTCTCAGTATATTTACAAAAATCTTCCTAACTGGGAAAATACTGTTTAACTATCAAACTTTTTGTAATCTTCTCAGGATACAATTATCCATCAGCTGCAGAAACGCTATGCTGACTTACAAATTTATACTTATGTTGGAGACATTTTAATAGCCTTAAACCCCTTCCAGAATCTCAGCATTTATTCTCCCCAGGTAAGAGAGATTCCAAGCTGTGGACAGTACTCACTTTAAATTTTATATTAACACCACTGGGTAGAATACTTAAGTAATGTTGGACTAGGAGCACAGACTAAACAGCAGTCTTTTCTTCTTCCAGAAAAGTGTGGCTACAAATCTTTTTTTTTTTTTTTTTTTTTTTTAAATTTGGTCTCATTTGATTTCATTCCTTTCTGCTTGGTGGCACAAATTCCACAGGAGGGATGAAGATTACCCCAGCCACAGCTGTGCCTCATCTGGCATTTAGGGCTTTCTTCTGGGAAACAGAAGATGGTTATATGAACCTCCTCATGCTGAGGCTGTTGCTTCCTAAAGAATTGCTCTGACTGTTGGGTTATTACATGTCCTGTGCCATCAACTGCTGCTCAAAAGAAAAAAGTGTATCAAATGCTGTAAAGATAGAGGCAGCTTAATTCCCTACAAATATGAAGAGGGGTGGAGCCATAAATCTTAGTCTCCATGGGTGCCTAAATCAGGATTGCAGGTAGAGGGACCAGATTTCAGATTTGCTGTTATCTTTGAAGTTTCTTTTATATAGGTTGAATGCTTGTGTTTGAAATTCTGTTCCATGTGATACAGTTCTCTTCACTGTCTTGTGCGGGAAACATCGGAGTGCATTTTAGATGTTGCAGTTTGTATTCTGGAAGTTGGGCAGTGCCAAGAATTACCACTCTTCTTCCAGGTGATTCAGTGGAAATTCTGTGGTAAAACAGCCAGAAGATAGTCACTATCCTCTTTTCAGTTTTTAATTATGTAGCTAAGTTGCGTATTTTGACTATTGTGTGTTCTTTTTTAAATTTAGTTCTCCAAGCTTTACCATGGTGTGAAGCGTTCATCAAATCCTCCCCACATATTTGCCTCTGCGGATGCTGCCTACCAAAGTATGGTTACATTCAGCAAAGATCAGGCAAGAATCTGTTCATTTTGGTTTAGATTTCACATTAATCGTACTGCCACTATGCTACACGGCTATGGCTAATGTTCTGTTATGTTGTACTTTGGGAAATTTTTTTTTTAAACCTTTTATTCCTATGTCAGGAAAACCGAAGTAGAAATCCAGTCAGGTTTGGGAATTCCAAAGAGGACACAATGGCATAAAAGAAACTAAAAGAAACTAAATAAGATGATAGGGTTACCTGACCAATATAGTTTCCTGGACACCCATGAAGTCCTGGCAGTTGACACCAGCTGCAGAGTGTTGCTGCACACTCTGATTCTAGCCTGTCTTGCACTAGGTATTGTAATAATTTGCACCTGTGTAAAATAGGAGGGTCTCAATGCCATAGCAGATTAACAGAGTTTGAACCACTTTTCGGTTGCATAAAGACGCTATCAAGCAATGGATAATCAGTTCCTTTAACTACAAGTCACAAAAAATAGGAACCATTAACTAATTTTTTTAGTAAAATATATTAAGGATAGGTCTAATATATAATAAGGACACAAATCGAATTATATAGCAGTGATTTTAATGAGAATGAAATACCGTGCTGTAGAAGCTAGATTTCTTTTTATTACATTCTTAAGATTGTAACTTTGTACTCTTTCTAATTTGATGTGCTGTAGTACATGAATATTGAGGGCTAATAATAATTTTTATTTATAGAATCCTCCTGATTTTACCCTGCACATCACACAATAATTCATAGAAAATGCTTTTTTAAAATCACAAAAGCAGAATAAAATAATAAAAAACCTGCAATCACAAAATACCAAGCAAAGAGGACAAATAAAAGGGACATTGAAGATGAAGAAAAACGGAGTTCTACTGAGTATGTGAAAGTACACTGGCCTGAGATGGCTAGTACTTCTTTAATGGCTTATATGCTCTTTGATGGAGTCATTAAAGAAAACAAGTACTCATGTAGAATAAGTTATGTAAGAACTTGTTATCTGGTGAAAAAAATTAGTTTTGACATCAGCCCGTAACTTTGTACATCTTTAATCTTATATGTTTTATACCCGCTTAAGAAGTAATTTGCATTTAGATCTAAACCAGTTTCCTATTTTCTGTTTGCAAAGGATTACAGGAGCATGTTTATCTCCATTACCTGGCTAATGTTATGTTGGTTCTTCAGGTAAAGGTGCATTAGATAAACACTCTAACCAGATCAAAAATGTATTGATTCTGTTTGTTTTATCCGTTGAGCTTTACCTTGTATTTTCCTGTGAAGCCTGAAAATTGACTCCAGGTATAACATTTCTCCTGAAGCTAAAGTCAAGTTCTGGCCAGTTCTACAAGAGTTTTATGAGTTCTACAAGAACTCATGGGCTTTAACTGCATAAACTGTTGTACATGACTTCTCTAGTCACACAAAGATAATTAATTTAGGTATCGTAACCCTGTAAATCCATCATTGGGTTATCTGTTTCCAAGAAGAACAAAAATACCCGACAAGAAGCAAATAAATGAGCTTCAAATGTCATGCTTTATTTAGAGTCAATCCTAGCACCTGCTGCCAGACACCACAAGACACCATCAGAGAACTGCTACATCTTTCAAACCTTTTTACAAAGCTCAGTTCTCTATGAAGTGTCATTGCATCAAGTATTTTAGGACCTTGTATCTTCTCCCAGCCAAGAATCTTTTATGTTCACAGTGTAGTGCAAATAATTTTCAGGTGTTTGCATCAAAACACACGAATCTATGCAACTGCTCAGTGTTAACATTTTAATTATATGTCAGTTGATACTGTACCATAAGTAGGCTAATATTTGTACTGGTGATCTGTAGAACACATGAAAAAATGGGAAAATAATAAATGCTGTTAGAATTCTTACTTACTATGTCCTGAAGTGTTCACGCTTCAGTGTTCAGGTGTGAACTGGCCTTCAGGGTGTACTGGCCTTCTACTTCCTTCTCGTCCATGAAGCGTAACAGCAGAGAGGAGGATACCAAGTGATTTAGACCGTTCTAACTAATCCCCGAGTCTGGAAGCCATTTGGAGAGCCTATAAAATACCACGTGTTAAGGACTGCTGACTCAGGAAGAAGATGGCTATGTTCTCCCAGAATCATCCAATGAACAGATGCATATTTTTCTGAAATGTTTAGATGCTAGTTTGCTGTTCTAGCTTGAATATCAGCGTCACCTACAGAATTGCTCTCTACACACAGCAATTATTTAAGATTAGTTTTAAAGCCAGGAGCAGACTTTTGGTCAGTGTATTAAATACAGCTGTACCCTGTGTTTCATGTTGATTCATATGAAGTCAGTGCAGTGAGCTCAGATGCACTGTTGAATTATGTTGTATCAGCTGAGCTGTGGCAATTTTCTGAGTTTTAAGCATTTGAAACAAGCCACACATGTGCATAGCGTGTGTTAGCCTGTAGACGTGGTCACTTGTTTATGTGTCTTAGCCCTTAGAAATTCAATCACTGCTTCACACATATGCATATTGCTATCAATCATTGTGAGACACATTTTAGTATCTAGGAAATCAAGTATTACACTGAGTCTTTGCTGATCTTTCCTTTCAGAAGGGAGTTGAGTGGGGAGTTGGGAGTTGAGAAGGGAGTTGAATACCTTAAAGTATTTTGTAGTCTTGGTACTAAACATTAAATAACAGATAGGAGCAGTAATAACTGAAATCGACCATGTGGTGAGCTGTGCACTTAACTGTTTTGGTTTGTGTGTTCAGTGCATTATCATCAGCGGGGAAAGTGGTGCTGGAAAGACAGAAAGTGCCCATCTGATCGTCCAACATTTGACCTTCTTGGGAAAGGTATTTCTTAGCCAATCATGTAAAACTATGAACAAATCCGCCCAACCCCACCTCCAATTTCCACTTTATTTAATCTTTAATACTTAAAGCTGTTCATGTGAATTGTCCCACTTGAGTTAGGGTCGGAGTAATCGAATTAAGATACACCCACACCAAGCCATTCAATATTTTTTTAAAGAGAAGATGCCAGATCCCAAGTGTTCAGTGCCTGAAGTTATCTACAGTGTTTATCACATATACCATTGTTCATTATATAATAAAGAATGACAGATCTTGCTATGGCTCTAATCTTAGCAGCTCTTAAACATGTAAATGTTATGAGTAATGCTCTTAGTGCAAAATGATGGGAAAATCAAGTGTGTAAGGTTAACCTTAAGTAGGTGTGTTTAGTTTTTGATGGTTTTGGTACTCTAACTAATTATATGACACCTCAGAGGCAGAACAATTGCAGAGAAAGAAGAATCTGTTTTTTCCTGCTTGTGGGAGAGTTCCTCAATTTGTTGGCCCTGTTGTATAAGTAGAAAGGTTAACATATACAAGCATAAGAAAGGGATGCTGTGCTTCTGAAGCAAGAATTGGATTGTGGGTAAGCAATAGATTCTTTTAATGATTCTTCTGATCTGTATCTGTTCTGTCAAGGCCAATAACCGTGCTTTGCGTGAGAAAATTCTTCAGGTGAATCCTCTGGTTGAAGCATTTGGGAATGCCTGCACTGCCATCAATGACAACTCAAGTCGCTTTGGAAAATATCTGGAAATGATGTTTACGCCCACGGGAGCTGTAATGGGGGCAAAGATTTCTGAATATCTACTTGAAAAATCAAGGGTCATAAAACAGGCTGTGTAGGTATATTAATTGTCTGTCCTTTCACATTTATATAATGTTTGGATTCTCTTTAATTCTCCAAAATTCTTTATTTCAAATGCTTTTGTATCTTCTACTAAAGCAGTGATCCTTTGTACAGTGCTATGATGACAAGAATAGTCAGTTAGGTTCTTTTGGAGTGGAAGCCAGAACTGCTCCATGCTTTGGAGAAATATGGTGGTTGGCTGGGTTTTCTGTGTTTCACACATTAAAACATTCACACATTTACACATTAAAACGAGTGGGAGATTTGCTACCTACTTCAGTGAGCTCATGATAAGAACAACTACTTTTACATTGTACAAGATGCCACAAGAATAAACACGTGTGCTTTAAAAGGATACTTTTTTTTTTCCAGGGGAGAGAAAAATTTCCATATATTTTATTATATTTATGCTGGCCTTTATCATCAGAAGAAACTTTCTGAATATAGACTTCCTGATAAAAAGCCTCCTAGGTAACTCACTTGTTTTACCTGTTCGTTGTAATTAGCTATTGATCAGCCCTTGCGTTCAGTATGATGCCTTAAAATTTCTCTTAATCCTTCTCCATCCCTTAAGGATCTTTTTTAATCCTCCCAGGCAAAGAAGAGGATGGACAATAAGGTATTACATTATTTGTATTTGTTTGAGAACTTGACCTATTAAAAGAGGAGGAGGAAGAATCAAGGTTATTATTATGCAGATATTCTGTCATACTTTCAAATCAGGACAATCACCTTATGATTTGTTACTGTAATGCTTTAGTAAGAACCCAGAATATACTTTGGAGTTGTGTTTTTTAATTGGTATTTGTACTTTGGGTGCATCTGATCTGTATTGGGTGAGGGGATGTGTGTGAAATGTTGGTAACACTATGATAGATATTAACAAAGAGTAAGCAAAAGTTAGTGCAACAGAAACAAAAACTTCTCATGAATTAGAAGTATATAATGGGAAGATATTGAAATAAATGTTCTTTCCAGTTACTGAGATACTTGCATTGAAGTCACTGGACGTTGTACTGGCATATCTGCTAGTATGGTGCTTTCTTTCTCCCACTCTATCTAGATATATTGATAATGAAACTGGAAGAGTAATGCATGATATTGTTACTAAAGATTCCTATGGAAGACAATTTGAAGCGATTCAGCATTGCTTTAGAATTATAGGATTCACTGACGAGGTAAGAGATCCAGTTGCTAAACCATTATTGACCTTCTTTATAAAAATCACTTCCAGTGCTGCCTATGCACAGGCTGCCATTTGGTTTTGTGAATACACACCTGTGCCACAGAATCTCTCTTATGACAGAAGTGAGCTGTGAAAGCATAACCACACACTCAGAAGCCAAGACCAGCCTGAGGTCTCAGCTGGTACTCAGGCAAGTCCATTCACAATTCTGTATCATGCTGTTTTCTGTGTCAATAGGAGCTTACTTGAATTTGTAGAACTTGGTCTCAGAGCGAGCTACAGGCTTTAATAGCCATTCCAATGCCCACCTTTTTCTTTCATAGCCTAAGTATGATCTATATATCTAATTGGATTCCTTAAAAGTGCTTCTTGTCATCTTTTACAGGAAGTGTACTCAGTGTACAGAATTCTGACTGGAATCTTAAATACCGGAAATATTGAGTTTGCTGCCATTTCTTCACAACACCAAACAGATAAAAGTGAGATTCCCAACCCAGAAGCCTTAGATAATGGTAAATACATTTTAGCATTGTCAGTTCTGTAAATGCAATTTGACTGTATTCGTGAGAATCTCTAACTTGTGGTAACAGTTGGGCAATGCTGGTGATTTCCGCTGCATAATCATAGTCGTGTATCTTTTTTCCACTGTCTTTTAGCTGCTGCACTACTAAGTATTGGGTCAGAAGAACTTCAAGAGGCTCTAACCTCCCATTGTGTTGTAACACGAGGGGAGACTATTATCCGAACAAACACAGTGGACAAAGCAGCTGACGTGCGAGATGCCATGTCTAAAGCACTTTATGGCCGGCTCTTCAGCTGGATCGTAAATCGTATTAATACGCTGCTTCAGCCAGATAAAAATATATGGCAAGTTACACATCACTGAATCATGTGTATTTACTGTGCATATGTCTTTGATGGGTTCATCCATTTGTATATTTTTGATTTTGCAGAAAGGGTGCTGTGTTTATTTTGGCTAAAGCTTCAAAATGGCTCTCATGCTGTGATACTGAATTCTGTTTCCAGGACATTAACCCCAACATTTTCGAAGAGTTGAGTGGAATTTAGCTATTGAAGTCAATGGAAATTGAGTAGTTAAAGTGCTGTACAATTCTTTAAAAAGATGTTTCCTATGTAGTGAACATTAAAAGCATACCAAAGGCTGGTAAATAATTGGAGTACACTAAAAAACTTTATTATGTATTCACAGTCCTTACAGTCCTTCTGCTTTTGTAAGCTAGTAATAAATACAGATCTTGGATTATTATTGTGCTGCTACTTGAGATGTAAGTGATGATTTTTTGTTTTTCGTAACTACAGAAACATTCACATTGTGCATCCTTATGATTTCATTGCCAGGTACTGATCAGTCTGCTTTGGTCTTTTCAAGCGGCTGTAGAGATTTTTAGAAACTAGAGAACCCCTTAGGTGATGTGAAAATGCCTCTGATCTGAGATCTCTACTTGGCACTTCACTATATCATATAGGTATATCCTCATCCAGACTTGCAGTTCTAGTGGTGACTGTGGTGTAAGTATACTTGAGCTAGCACATGGGCTCTTAACAGTCCAGCTTGTAGCAGCAGCAGACTTGGTAATTACCCTTCTGAGTGAGTATAGCAAAAACATACTGTTAAAGCTTGACATCTTTTGTCTACCTGGAGGAGCAGAGAATGGATTTTATTTGGGATCTGCCTATTGAAACCACGTGTTTTAATATGGCTGCTAAGTGTCTGTTACTATGTACCTATGATTCTCCTGCCTTCTTCATGGAAATTTGCAAGAAGCAAGTGGAAAACAAAAGCGTTAACAATGCTGAACAAATGCACAAGTTGTCTTAGGTTCAAACACACTTTTTCTCCTCTCTTTTTGCAGCAGATTGAATCAATTGTGCAATCTTAATTACCATGTTTATTTTTATTTTAACTTGGTGTTGCCATGATGAATTTTGTTTGTATTTTCACATGCAGCAATGCTGAAAATGGGATGAATGTTGGGATACTAGACATATTTGGATTTGAGAACTTCGCAAGAAATTCCTTTGAACAGCTGTGCATAAATATTGCTAATGAACAGATCCAGTTTTATTTCAATCAACATATCTTTGCACTTGAGCAGGTAAGTTCAACTCTGATGAGGTCTAGTTGAATCAGCCGTCCTGAACCATAGATCATGTTCAGGAGTAAATGGGAATGTGATTTAAATGCAAGATAATGACCTCTTTCAGTTGAAGTTTTGTAAATAATGTTGTTGGGGCCTATAGAGTACTGCTGTGCATCATAAATGTCCTAATGATGACGTTGCTTTTACTGGTTCAATATTAAAACTGTGCTGGTGACTTTGTAGGTGGAATATCAGAGTGAGGGAATTGATGCTACTACAGTGGAGTATGAGGACAACCGTCCACTTCTAGATATGTTCCTCCAGAAACCCATGGGTCTCCTGTCTCTACTAGATGAAGAAAGTCGATTTCCTCAGGCAACAGACCTAACTTTAGTTGGTATGTGCAAACAAAAATTCTGGGAAATAACAAATATCTTTTGAGAGGGTGGAATGACATCTTTACTGAAGTTTTACTAGCCTAGTTGTTCTGCTGATGCTGTGCCATTTCATTTGACATTTTAAGTATATTTTTCATTATGCTTCATCGTTTTTCTCTGCTTACATGTTTTCTGTTCCTTTTATATTGCAAAAGTTATCTTATATATCAGGTGTCAAGGGCTTATTGTCTTTCTAGTGTTACAAGGAAATAACCTGTGTCTTGTCCCTGTATGTGAGGTACATCAAGCAGCATTTATCCCCATTTACTGAAGGGAAGGCTGAGACATAGTAGAATCTTGTGTCTAGGACCACCCTGTGAGCAGCATTAGTGTCAAGAGTAAAATTTAGATCTCCCAGGCTCCTAGGCCCATGTTTATCCAATTAGAAAGTACTGCTTCATTCCAGATTATCTCATCATCATAAATAGAAAGTGTGTGTTATTTTTGCTGTGCCATCTGGCTGAATATTTCCCTTCCTTCATGCATATTTTACATATATTTTAGCAAATCTTGGTGCCAACTTTAAAACGTGCAGTGCATGCCATGTTTAAAACTGTTGTCTTGCTTTTATTTACTAGAGCTACATTTTTTCCTGCAATATGAAACAGAGAGTTCCAGTTCCTTCAATGGAATGTGCAGCAGAGACTCAAACTATGAGAGAAAAATAACAGCTGCCTGTTAAATTGCACGATATATGTACAAGATTTTTCACTTCTGCTAGGCTGAGTTGAAACTTGAATTTAGGTCACAGGTAGAATGAATGCTATGGTTTCATTCCAGTCCTCATTTGTGTACTAAAGCTGTGTGCTTCCCTGTGCGTCCTATAAATCAGTTAATACTGAATATTGAATTTACACTTTCACAGAAGTACTTTCCTTGGTCCAGTGCTGATCAGTCTTACTGCTGATCTGTACACACTATAGCAGGATCCCTCAAGGAGACAGCAAAGTGGGATATTTTGCCCTCCCCAGATGTGCCAGACAATCGTTAATTCCACCACCCTCCTTCCCACCTCCCCAAAATTCCAAACTTAGTTCTTTTTGCTTCAAATACAAGCTTGATTAAATGTTAATAGAAAGAAAAACCTAACACAAAATATTAATGGATTCTAACATTAGAAAAAACATTTTGATAATATTTTCTGACCTACACAACATGACAGAGAATTTTATCAATTGATTCTGGCCTCAGGTCTCTAGTTGCTTGTGCAGATAAAGAAATATAATAGCAAGTTTTACAGTATCAGCACTAATTTCATTATAAAATATTGAAGAGCATACAAAATATCACAGGGCATAAAAGACATTTTTCTTAGAAAGTGGTGTTTCTTTTTCTGTCAGCTCTTTAGAGGTAGTCATGGGAAACAGAAAGTCTCTTTAGAAGAGGTTTTAGATAGAAGCCTCTTTTTCTGTAGAAGTCCAAAGGTAAATGAGAGGTGGTCCCAGCCTGAGGACATTAACATATACTTAAAACATGATGCACAAAGCTAAATGAGTGGGGAAAGGAAGATAGGGAAAATACAAATAATAGGCATTTAAGCAAGCAAGATATATGCACAGCTTTGAATGTACATAGTGGAAATAAACCCACCCCAAAACCTATATATACATACAAGCAAATTCATAGCAAAATATGAGAAGTCGTCACACCTTCTTGTTGGCCCCTCTTTTGATAGTTTTCCATGCACAAAACTATCCACAAACAGTGGGATTTGAAAGACCCTTACTGGGCTAGTTTAGATTGAGCTGTTCCATTCAGAAGTGGCAGCTTGGAACAAAGCACAGAGAAGCTGGCACACAGCTATTTCTGAGCAATCTGATAATATATGTGTTTATGGTAGTTCTGGCTTCTTGAGCAGCAAAGTGTCCCTAATTAGGATGAAGATTTTACTTAGCACTCTAAGTCACTTATATCACTTATATATGTCTCTTATCAATGTCTAGATAAATTTGAAGATAACTTACGATGCAAATACTTTTGGAGACCAAAAGGAGTAGAACTGTCATTTGGTATTCAGCACTATGCTGGAAGGGTAAGGTCATGTGATTTTTATTTAGTTCAAATAATAGTGGAATGGTCATTATTTTTTTTATCCAAAGTTTCTGCTTTATGAATTTTTTTCTCATTTTGAGAGACAAAATGATAACGTTTACGGAAACCTAGAATCTACAATAAAATTTTCATGTGTTGTAGTCCATTTTAGAGCCTATCCTTAGGGCTCTTTCACAAATTGTGTAGACAGTAACCACCTTTTATTCTGAAAGAAATCTGGCACCAGAAACACCATTACTGCAATGATTTCAAAGGAGCAACTCTGTGGAGCCAGAACAGGCTACGCAATTGTGAACTTCGTGTGAATGCTACAAGTAGTTCTCTGTGTGTGCATATATAAGTATACAGATAAAATGCAGTGTAAAGCAGCGTCTGTAACAGAATTTAAAATCTTATAGAGAGCGTTGGAAAGACTGGAGCTAGCTAGCACAGATGTTTTCTTGTACTCTGTAGCACCTAACTTCTTTTGTTTTCAGCAGTTCACGTATTATTTTATATGGGGAATAACGGTCCGGTTGTTTCACATACCATGAGATTTGCTTGTGATTTCAGGTCCAAATCTTTGTTTATAAACAAAATCAAAATGAAATAGCCATGCTTTATATAGTTATCAATGAAGTCTTCTCTCTGGTTCATTTATAAGACTCCAAAATTTTAAGTTATGTTCTAGTAAACTTTGTCCAGCTTTCTGGCTTGTTAAGAATAACCATAAAATTTCACACAGGTTCAGTAAATTCTTTGTACCCAAATAGCCAAGTCATAAAAACACTACTGGCCAGTTCGCTATTGCAGGAGAACGTTCAGTTTCTGTGTAAACTAATGGACTGCAGTGGAATTAGGCTATAGAGGAATATTGCTAGTGATAATGAAAGAAGTCTAAAAAATTACTGCAATTTAAAAAAGAATAAAAAAAAGTTAAGCAAAATTAACTGATTCTTATAGGAATACAAATAGCCAGGCATTAATTTCTAATAAAAACAATTAAAATAATTTAAATAGATGAATGTTTTGTTTTCCTGCTGTCATTTTCAAAGCAGTGGGAAGCCTATTTTAATGTACCTAGATGTGCAACTTTCACATGTAAACTGTCAACTTAAGCTTTAATGAGGTATCTCTTATATTGGATCATGTGTACCACAGTTTGACATGACAAAGCATAATACAACATGATTTATGCCATTTAACCCAATTTGATGTGCAGTGACATGCTATGAATATAGGTGCTGTTTATAACCAGTTCACATTCTGAAGACACTGCTGTAGCTGTACACTTTTAAGTCCTTTGCAGGTAATTCATTGGCTTGTCAGAGCCAAACTACCTGGTCATCTTGACTGTTCACATTTTAAAGATCATAGTAGTTTTTGAGAACCCTTTTTGGCAACTTTTCTGATTCTATTTCCCATGCTAGGTATTATATGATGCCAGTGCATTCCTTGAGAAGAAAATCCTGCTGACGTAGTGGTGGTGTTGCGAACTTCAGAGAACAAACTTCTTCAGCAGCTGTTCTCTAGCCCATTAACAAAAACAGGTATTTTCTCCACTGCTTTGCTAACATTGCAACCTCTTCAGCTACCTCCTACTCTAAAACTCTAATTGTTTCTGGACAATTTTTAAAATTCTTTTTCAGCTCTGCTGTTTAAAGTTTCCTAGATATCTAAAATGTTATGATCATTTTTTTTTTTTTAAATATGTGGACATGAATTCTTCTAAAAAACCCAGGCAGCAAGATTCATCTCTCACTCAAAGGGAGATTATCGGACATGTAGGGCAAGAACTCATTCTCAGAGCAGGATGAAAATATGGGAGTTTCTTAGTTCTTAGTCCTTTACCAAGATCAGTTCTCAGTTGATAGATTCTTGTGTACTGTGTCTTATAGTTCATAAATCATGTAATGTAGATCGAGTTGTTTTGGCGGTAAATTCCATCTATTTAGATTATAAAAAACATACTAATCTGCTAGAATTAATTAATTCAGTTGATTTAAAGCTTGTTGACCCTGACTTACATGAAAGTGCACAGATCTATAGCTAAATAAAACAGCAAGATGAAGTTTGATTACTCCATGGATAGATGTCAGAATACGAGTAACCTATCCAATGATAGTTCTGCAGAATACATGCAAACAAGCCAACAAATGTACACATCTCTCAATACTGTCTACATTTTTGAAGTATCTTTTTCACAATGGCTAAGAAAAAGATGTGATACTAAGGAATAATCTAAATGCAATGGATTGTATTAGACTGCAAAATTCTTGTGATCTGACGTGACATATGCAAATTAGGTTGTTGTATTTTTAGGTAGAAATAAGTGTACATGCATTAGGTAGTGCTGTGTAGGCTTATTGTACATGGGCTGTAGATGCAATTCTGTGCCTGTGCAGCAGCTCTGTCTGGGATTTCTGGACCCTCAATAGCCCAGTCATAGCCTCTGGTGATGCCTTTAACATCTCTTGAGATTTCTGTGTAGAAAAAGAACATCTGGAGAAAAACATATATTGGAGCCTTCTTTGCACATGTAAAACTGATAGCAAAATATCTGTTTATATTCAGCATAAGATAGATTGCTGTTACAATGTCTCTGTTCTTCTCCTGTAATTAGAAGGCTCTGGATTACCCCTTCAAATTATGCTTTTAGAGGTCCCTGGGAGGTGAGGATCCAATGAGGAATCTGCTTCTCCTTTCAGCTATGACAAGCTTAGATGGAGGGGGATATAGTTTAAGATGGAGTAGGATTGGTTTGTGCCAAAGTGGGGAACAAAGAATCTTTGTGTCTACTTCTGACATTTGAGTCCATGTTAAACTGGTAGAAGAGATTCTTTTACTCATGCTGGATGGATCAAGCAGAGCAAAAAAGAAAGCTCACATCTGGCCAAATGTGCCTCCACACGCTTCTTTACTAGCCATTTTATACCTTGGAGCTATTGTCAGAATGAAACAGATTAGGTGCTTTGTCCCAGTTATGAGTCGCAATTATTGTAAATATTATACTTTTGATTTTCTTGCTATTTTTAAATCAGAATGCTGATGCTTTCATGCAAACTTATCTTCCTTTGGCTTTTTAGAGATATTTTCAGTGGCAGCAGTGCTGAACGTGGGTATTTTGCCCAAGATGCATAAAAGGTTCAGTAAGAAGATATTTCTCATTGCAGTAATATATAGTTACCATGTTGGTGTATTTCCTTACATTCCTTCCTTCTTTCCTACTTACATGAATTGCATGCTTTCTGCCTCCCGTTATAGAACATTTACCTTTCCATGAAGAACGCACAGCAAGTTGAGTGTTGTCTCTACTTCTGTCAAGTTGGTACAGGACATCCTGTTAAAAAAATTATTGTGCATGTGCTCCTGTGCATGGTGTTATAAGAATAGCTTAAAACGCTTATGTCGTTTTTATTTTTTAAAAGTCTTTGTGATTTTGGTCTATTTTTTCCAGCTGTCTAATATAATTGGCACTCACATCCTGTGTTAGGGCCTGTGTGTTCTAAAATCAGATTGTTGCCAGGTTTAGTTTTGGCAGCTTGCAAGATAAATGAAAAGTTTGGCTGAGAACAGAAGGTATCACTGGCAATGCTGCTTCATCTCTGCTCAGTGAAGAAAGATAATGCTATTCTCTTAACTTTCTACAAAGAGGCTTTTGTAAACAAAAGAATAGTGACTACGTAAATGTCCCATCATTCTCTGTCCTTGCCTCTTAGCCCTCCTCCCTCCACTCAACATGTGCTTCATTCCTAAAGCAAACCAGAAAAAATATAGATTAAGATTCATAATCTTGATACAATGTTCTCCAGCTTTTTGTAGATTACTGACTAATGTGGAAGTTAATAATTTACATGGAAGCCATATTGCATCTTTCCAGGTAACCCTGACTTGAAATGAGCCTTCTGCCAGTATCTCTGGTGTTTTGTTTGAAGATGAGTGACAGCACATTCTCACATCTGCTTGCAACTAGCTCTGGAATTTGCAGCGTAGGTGGTTTTTGCCAAGCACAATCTCCAACACGTGTAATAGTCACTAGGTGGTGCTATCCCAGAAGCAAGAGGGAATTTGAGACTGGTAAAATGGGTCTGATAGTTGCTGAAAATGTAGTTCTTAAATACCAGTAAGAACAGAAAGATGCCTTTCCCACCCTGAGAATATCCTCTGTTTGAAGTATATTTATATAACTGCCATGTCTTCCACTGTCAAAAACTGAGCAGCAGCAAGAAAATAAATATTAAAAAGACTAAATTCTTTTACTAATTTAAGATCATGTTAATCCCTGAAATTTATCAAATATACTTATCCCCTCTTAACAAATGCTTCTATTTTGCAGTAGCAGGCTGTGTAGTTTAAAAGGCTAGAAATTAACAGCAGGACATTAAATATACATTTGTAATAGTAATTTATGGTTAAGAGAGTGCGATACCAGAACTTAAACATTCTGGCACTAATTTTGTAGTGTGTACAGCATGTTTTGTCATCTTTCAGTGGAAACTTAGGCAGGTTCGACACGTTTTGGAATCTGTTTGCACTTTCTAGGGACCTTTAACCTCAAAACTGAATGAACATATTCTGATTTAACCTACCAGTTCTCCCAATTGCTTCCATATTTGTCACTTTTTTCTACAATCACAGCTTCTTATGCTGAGAATTCTGTATATTCTGAAATTAAAATAGAATTTACCCCAAATACAAGAGAGAAGTAGACACAAAAAAAAGTTGCCACTACTCCAGCTGAATATGCATGCTGCCATTCAGATGTAGTGCATTCCTGAAGTTTTAGTTTATCACTGTTGCAGCTAAAGCATCAGAGAGAAAAGGAATCATGTGGTCTAGAAAATAGGGTCCCCTTGTAAGAGAAGAGGGCTTTAACTGGAAAAATTAAGGAGAGCCTTTGTACCTTCCCTAGTGGTATCAGTGAGGAGTCAGACCATTTGACTCACTGTCCTGATATTCAAGAATTTTTGCAGCATGACCTTTAAGTGGTGGTACCATTGGACTGCTTGGGCAAAGCACCGCTGGGGCATTTTGAGACTGCAGCTCCCTCTTCCACTTTTCCTCTCTCTTACCTTATGTTCCCCAGCTGACCACATCATGCTGGCAGGATAGGGAGGTGTGCCAGAGCGGTTTCATCTTCTCAGAAAAGCTGCAGCACAACATGATTATCTACTCCTGGAACACAATCTCTGCAGACTTTTTCCCCTTTTATGACTCACAGAGCTTTAGAGTTTTTGTCAGGGTTGCTCTGCTCTGCCTTAGGTCCTTGCTGGAGAGGGGGGGGGAGTTGCCACCTGGAGGGAGGGAAGGGGAAATCCTCCAGCCTTCCTACGACCAGAGTAGAGGTGCTGGGAAACATCCCTATCCCAGCTCTGAGGATCTGCAGGGGCTGGGCTTGGCTGCGTAGAATAAATACAGAGCTGAGTACCATTACTGCTACAGCAATGTCATGTCTAATAATTTTGGTAGCATTGGGTATTGCTCACACATTCAGAGTGATATAGTATCAATATATCATCCATTGCTAATAAACACTTCACGTTCATGGAGCCTAGATATTTGAGCATAATCTGTCAAAGAGAACTGGGATGAAAGTTTTCACAACCTTTACTGAAGAGTTAGGATAGTGATGCTTTAACAAGGGATGTTTTTTGTCCAAAATTTGAGGAAAATAGATTTTTTTCAAAACCAAATTAATTATAATTAGCCTGCCTGAAGGTCATTTCTCCTCCTCAGTATTGATTTTCAGGCTGTTCTTTGTACCTTTGACTCTCCAGCCCTGCTTACAGCCCTCAGACAAAGAGTAATTATAAACAATGTATGTCTCATATAAAAAAAACCAAAACAAACAACTAACGGACCATGTGCTGAGAGAGAATGTGGAAAAAAATGTTTCAGGCTTTCTTTATGCACATTAAAGAACACAAGAACTAGGGCCTTTTGAAAAATCACTTTAAAGAACTGCTTTTCACCACTCCTTGGTGACAAGAATACTATCTCAATATTGATTTGTCTGTAACTTTGATAGCAGCTGATTCCTCATGAAGGGTCAGAAACTGAGAGAAACAAATGGATTTTCTTGCATTTCAGTCCCTTGAACAGATACTACTGGGCATAGAGTGAAATCTTGGCTAGTTGAAATTGTAGCTGCTTTGCCATTGTTTTCAGTGGAACCATGATTTGACCTGTCATGTTTGTCACTGTGTACTCCTATTGAGTACAAGCCTTTACTCTAGCAATAAATAGTGGCAGGTCTCTTGGCTTGGTGTGTGTCTTACTTAGGGACTGAAATATAGCATGTTTCCATTTGGGCTTAGCGGATTTTTTTCTCTTAATTCTACACATCACAATAGAGCAGAAGACTGAAATACATCTTAATTTTACTAAATTCATCCTACAATAAAATCCTTCTATAATGGTACTTTTGTGTTAGTATTTTCACCTCCAAGAGATAACTGCAGACACTCTAAGTCAAATAATTAGAAACAAAGCCATTGTAATTATAATCTCTCTACTTAAAGATGAATCAGAATTTATGTTTTGTAAGAATTTGGGTCAAGTTAATGGAAGCTATATATTTTCACTCAGGACACAGAGGTTTTCCTACTTCTAACTGGTCCATATGTTAAAAGCATATAAAAGTTAATTGTTTTTGCTTTGCTGCCAGTGTGTTGTGTGCAAAGAGAGGCTTTAAACCACAGCTGTGCAACGTAACAATTGTGAACTTTACTGGGTTGCAGATGTGGGACATCAGCAAACTAAATTAAATGTAACTTAACTGATTTTGAGAGGTAGAGTGTTGGATTACTTTTTATTTAGTTTTTCCGTTGAGCATTTTACAGTTCAGTGTTTCTTTTTCTTCATATCCTAAGGTTTTGTGTCATAGGACAAATGCAGTACACAGATACTCACAAGACTTGCTAGCAGTAGGATCCAAAACATTCCCTAAAATAGCCCTAAAAATTGAACTTATCTAGAAACAGAACCATCTATCAGATCAAAGTTAAGGTCTCAGTCCTGCTAAAGCTTTATATAAGACATAACAATTATTTACTGTTGAGAATAACTCCCTATAAATAAAGAGTGTCAGTGAATCTCTGGAATTGCACATGGAAGTAAGCACAACAGCTGAGAAGGGTCAAGTTAGATTTATTGTGTTTATGTTTGATAAAGGGTGTTGCCCAAGCAGAAGTCCACTGTTTTTAATATGAGACTTCACAGATTACGTTGTACTGAAAATGGGCAAAGGGCATAAATTTTTTTTGTCTCGAAGTGCTTGCAAATTGAACCTTAAAAAAAAAGTACAAGTGGGCAAGTTTAAGAACAGATCTTGATGAGCTTACTGATTTGAATCATAATAGGCCATTCTCTGTAGAACAAATATTGAGAATAATTTTTCTTTACCTTTCTCTCAGAAGAGAGGAGATATCTTTTAAATTTTCATATTTCTAGTCTAACTTCTCAATTCTATAATGAACATTATGTCACAGTAGTGAACAATAATTAATCTTAACACTTCAATGTATACTAATTAAAATAAAAATGTGTTGATATTGAGGAAGCAAAAGATGTATCACACAGAAGATATTACTGCTTTTAATATTCACTAGTAGACTGTGAGATCTCACTGTGCAGCATGTACAGAATTTAAATAGAGAAATTTTCAGAGAACATTATACAGTAGTTGTTTTAATGAGTAGTTTACTAGGCAGTTTCTACAGGCACTATGTGCTGTAAGGTCAAATTGTGTCAAAGATGCTCGTTACGTCATTGGAAGCATTCAGTAGCTCTCAAGATCAAATCCTAGAAGAGCAATTATTTTTAAATTTGCTAGTGAGTTTGTAGAGCAGATAAATTTGTTGAATATTCAGATAACCTTGCTGGTTTGAATATCCATAATGTTTTTTGGTGTGTCCTTTATAAAGAACATGCTTATATTTCCCAGCTCTTCTCTTGTCAAAACCTGGTTTTGACACTGTTTTTATCCTGTCTAGCTTACGGTCTTAACCACTGAGAAAACTGACAGTCATAGTGAGGTCAGAGAAAATGTTCCTCCATTTTATTCCATGTGCTTTCAGTGACATCTTTACATCTGAATTTTTACCACTGAATTCATTTGGAATCTTTACTGGCTTTAGTAGGATTTTGATCAGACTGTGTATGTGTGGAGCAGCTTCAGCAGCAGGTCCTAAGTGATGGAGTATATACCATAAAATGTTTTATACATTGTATAGAGAGGGAACATACTCTGGAAATACAAACAGTGGGCTGGAAATCACAGTTCTTGACTTCTCCTGGGTTTCCTGTTTATTCACTGTTCTTGTAGAA